GTAAAGTTTAAAAATGTTGTTAGAATTTCTTAACGGTATCTTTTATGTTTTGCAATTTACTAATATTAAATAGTCGAGTACTTACTTTGGTTTTGAAATGTTATATATTTATTACGGTTAGTATGTTTAACGGTGATACTCGTAATTATTTTACTAATGATATATTAAAATTGATTCTTCTAAAAACCTTTTTAAAGTAAAGAAAAAAAAAATTAATAAAAAGAAATAGTTAATGTCATTTATTAAAATATTTATTTTATTACTTTTAACGATAAACTCATTTTAAAAAATTTTTTTAATTTTATGTTTCTATCTCTTTTTTCTTTTTTTTTTTTTTAACTTTTTATTATTTGTTTGTTTATAGACTTTAACTAAAATAAAAAATGAAAAAAGATTAAACATTAAGAAATAATGAAAACTATAAATAAAACTAACATTGAAATATTTTTTTCTTTTTTTCCAAATCAGTTCTTAAATTTGATTCTTTAAAATACTAAGTATTTTAAACGTTATGTATTATTTTTTTAAAATATTATTTCAACAGACGTATTAAAGTATAAAATATATATAATGATGATAAAAAATTAAAAGTTTATTTAATTATACTTTATTTAATGGTGTTTTTTTTTTTTTTTTTTTTTTATCATTGTTTAGACTAAGTTTTTCTACCCCGACTAGCAGACATTCTTGTGGGGCCCCAAACCATTTTTTTTTCACCGATTTTAATGTATGCTATTACAATGTAGGAAATATTTCAAAGCACCTTCAGTTAACTGTATTTCAAGAAAAACTTTTACAACTTGACATATTCTTCCAATTTTACACTGCAATCTTTCTGGCCTTAATTAATGCAAACTCTCTTATTATTTCCTCGTACTTTAGACCCGTGCTTATCTCATGCTCAATGCTCAGTAATGTTAGTCCATTTAGTTGCCATTACAACTTTTGCCGACTGAAAAAAAAAAAAAAAAAGCGGTCCTCGTTTTTTAGATTTTGCCGACTGCCCTCCAATTGCCATAACGACATTTGCCAACTGACTCTATAAATTTACCAAATAATCTATCAAAAGGGTCTACATTTGCCGACTAACTAGTCAAAAAGGATCAAATTTGCCTACTTAAATCATTGATGGCTATTTCTACGAAGAAGTTTATTTCGGCTACTTCTACGAAGAAGTTTATTCGTAAATTTTCCATTGGTGTAAACTGTGTTTGTTTAGTAGATTCGTAGAGAGATTTTTGCTCTTTCTCAAGTTGAGGCAGCTCAGTGTCAATTTCACAGCTCAGTGTCAATTTCACAGCTCAGTGTCAATTTCACAGCAGCAATTTTCTGAGCTTCAAGTAACAAATTGTCAAAATTATTTCTAAGAGCTCTGAGAGCTATTTTACAATTATTGATACATTGCATTGCTATTTGAATTTCCATTTTTTCAGACTTTAAGTACTTCCTTGAAATATTAATCTGCAGTAGGAGTTCATACCATATCACAGTCTTTATGATGAAAGCATATGATGATAAATCGTTTTTCAAAGATCTCAGTTCAGCAAAGGCAAAGGAATCACTTGTTGAGTCTTCTATTTTTTCTAGTGCCTTCAAAATTTCAGGTAAATGGTTCTAAACAACTTTTACACTTTCTATTCGAGATTCCCAGCTTGTCTCGCTTCATTTCTTTATTGTTGTTCCAAGACATTGTTCCATAATTGTCCATCTATGTGGTAATGCTGAGATAAAATGAATATAAACGTTGAAGATATCCAATAAACAACTTTGCATTTGCCTGCATCAGAAACAGTGAGATTTAATGAATGGGCACCACACGGAGAGAAGAAAGCCGACGGGTTCTGTTCCAGAATTCGTGCTTGCACTCTTTTGATGCGACCTTTCATGTTGCTTCTATTGTCATATCCTTATCCACTGCAGTCATCAATATTTATGTCGTTTTCAGTCAAAAAGTTAGTAAATAATTTTGTAATTCATGTTAGAGTAATTTGAACGGGCAAAACTTGATTTTTGTCTTGTGGTCGGGTGAAAAATGAACTAAATTTTGGCAAAATTTCAATTTTTTTTTTCATCCTCTTGCTTTTTCTTTCGTTTTCTAAATCCACTTGCATAATTTTGACTCCCTTTCAAAGTCCACAGTTTTTAGCTCAAGCTACCACATTGCACAATTTTTGACATGTTCTTTATCATTAACTGTATCAGGGACATACTGAGAGTAATAGACGCCACCCGAGTCTCCAATTTTGTCCAAGAGTGAGCAATATTGATGCACAAAGCACGAGCAAAGTATTACATTGAGAAATGCTGTAATGGTCTCCGGTTCCCTTTGGGGTTTCAAAAATATTGGGGGTCCCAGGCAGCTGTCTGGTTTGCCTATTAGTAGGAACGGCCCTGCATACGGCAACACTTTATAAAAAATTTTGTAGGGAAGATTGAATGACTTTATCAAAGTCAAAGTCATAAAAAAAAGACTATATATATATATATATAGAATATATATATATAGAGAATATATATATATATTTATAGCGACTGCGGCTGGCCATCCATTTTACTTTTTTTTAACATAATGTTTATGTACCATCTGCCTTGAAATTTTGTTTTTACATAATGTTTGATTAGATTTTCATATAGATGCTCCAAAATATGCGTTTTTTTTTAGAAACAGTTTTTATCACTTAATCTCAAGTAGCTGGGATAGTTAAGGTTAAAAAAATAAATTTTCTGTTAAGAAAAATATATAAAGACATTGTTAAGGTCAATAATAATAAATTAGTAAATAATCGAGAAAATTTTAATTGTTATTTTTAAAAACTAAAGTTTTAGAACCTCAATTATGGAATGTACTTTAACCACATTGAGTATTTTTTTGTTAAATAAGTTTTACGCAATATATAATCTAATTTATAAGAAATTTGTAAGAAAATTTTATATGATTTATCAAGAAAATTTGTATTTTTATTTTTAAGATAGCAGATCCCCATAAAAATCAAAAAAATTTCAAAATTTTTTTTAGTCAATTTTAATGATGAACTTAACAGAGATTATTTACGTAAAAACGTTTTGTTGTAAACTAATTTAGTATTTTAAATAATTATATTTTAGTGCACAATAGTTTTTCAAACATCCCTAGCAACCACCATAGCAACGAATTTGCTTATTGGTTCATTAGCTTTATAGTCAGGTTTTTGGAGAAAATTTAACTCTAAAAATATCCTTTTTGCCTAATATTTTATCAGTGCTCAAAAAAACTTTAGGATAAGTTTCACAGCTTAAAGTTTACTATCATCTTTTGGTAATACCATATCTTTTGTTTATATTTGCATGCTTGCTTAAAATTTTATTACAAACTTGTTTGCATCTTTTATATAAAAATGACTATAGAAATAAAACTAGAAAACGTGAATACAAATTCAAAAACAGTTATAACACTTCCAAAAAAATAAAAAAATAAAAGCAGCCACATTACCAATTGCAAGTTTTTCAAAAGTAAAGAAGTTTTTTTGATAATGAATATTAGTTTTTTTGATAATGAAAAAGACAAAAAAGACTTCTATAGCAGCTAATAACAAAAAAATTCTTCTGCAGATACCTTATACCAACTAAAGTTGGTAAAAGTTAGAAAAAAAGGTTCGTTGACAAAAAATATGAAGAAGAAACATCATATTTTACTAGTGACTTCTAGAATTACAACAATTTTATGACTTTTTTATTACGCAATCTTTACGAGCGTTTTTTTTATTTTTTGTATAATTTGCAACACATAAAACACTTTGCAACACATAAAACAATTTGCAACACATAAAACACGTCTCAACTTCTAATAAAGATTTTGCTTTGAAATTTCCAGGAAATGTTCCTTGTTGTGCTTTCTGGGGTTTGTACTTCAATGAAAGCTTAATTTTTATTATAAGTATATATTTTTATTTTTTTAGTTACTTCGTTTTACTACTTTTTGAAAAAAATTGAATAACTTAAAAAATAATTATCTGTTTTTTACATACGTGGTAGAAACCCCAGTTAGTAGTACTTTAAATATACCGTGAAAATTTGGAGTTACTAGCATTCGTAAAACTTATACAATCAAGTTTGAAAATTTTTCAAAATGGCACCTTAAGTGTTACAAGTCTTTAATCATTTTTTTTTTTTAATTTTATATATGAGAAATAGAAATTTAATTAATTTAAAATACTATTTAATTGCAATTAATGTTGCATAACAAAAGTTTAGGCAACTTTTTTTAAGGGGATCTGGTATCTTAAGATACTCAGCGAATCTAAAATCTTAGAACCTCATGTATGGAATGTATTTAACCACATTGAGTACTATTTTGTTAAATAAGTTAACACAATATATAATATAATTTATAAAATATTTTAATGAATTTCTTATATTCAAGTTCGTTTCTTAAGTTTTTCTTATTGGATTAATCAAAGTAAGTAAAAAGTATCAAAAAGTTTATTGATTGAAATTGATTTGTTCAAAAAAAATTATTGATAAAATTGCTCAGTGGCAGATTTAGAATCTGAGTAAATGGAGTTATCTATTTAATGCTGAAAGTATTGTCGCTAATATTAAGGGCTCTCTTCAGAAGGTTGAAGATACTGTTGTTTATCTATTCTTTAACCTTCTAAGTGTTACATTTACTAGCTATATAGGCGCTTCCTATATGCTAGTAAACATAATACAAAGTTGCAACTATTGTGCAGTAAAATTGACATAAGAAACATAAGCAAGCTTCGTTGGTTGTAAAATATTTCACCACAATTGCAAATAAAACAGATAATTTCTTAAGGGTTGTTTTCAATTCTATTAGCATCTCGTTAAATTTTTAATGATTAACATCTCCTGAGTGTAAATCATTAAATAAAAGGCAATTGAAAATACATTTTTTTCTTCTGTAATCCATACATTTTCAAACTTAATAAGGAAACCTTGGGACTAGTTTCAGAATTTAGTCAAAACTCCGTCTCTTTCAACGGGGCCAAATCGGCACTCAAAATTACGCGCTTAAATTACGCGCTACTTTAAGCATAGCGCTTGACATAGCGCTTGACATAGCTTACAACAGTTTCTGTATTAATAACAACTAAATGTAAAGAAATATTTACAACAACTACAAAAATTTTTTGAAAATGTCACGTAGCGAAAGTTCGCATGAAGCTACTCTTTGGACTTTTGAAGAAAAACAAAGGTTTGTCAATGGTATGATTTTTATACCAATAAAATATATCAATTATTTAATTTTTGAAAATATTGACTATTATTTATTTTCTAAAACTGTTGCATCAAATGAATGACGATGTTATTACTTAAAATTACGAATTTTAAGTAATGATATTTTCCATAAAAATGAAGTTATTACATATAAACAGGTTGAACTTTTTGCATTTTCATTGATAGTTTTATTTGTCCCTAGCCCATGATACCTTGAATCTAAATTAGAAGTATTTAAAAAAATGAACTAGTAGAATGTTTGTTTGAAGTAGTCAAATAGGTTTTCTAGCGGTTGTATTATAAAGTACTCTGAACTGTAAAATAGTTTAATTTCAAAATGGGCATCTCATTCTAAAAAATTTCTTCAGCTCTTCTTTAGTGGCGCTTAAGAAATTGCATAATGGAAGCATTAAAGTTGTGTGATTTAGAAGAGTTTCTGTGTATTTTAAATAGGTTTAATGTGCAATCCTTTACATTAAACAAAAAGTAATGTTATAGTAGTTGGTTGCTAAAAACTTTAATAATAATTGGTTGCTGAAAATTGCATTATAAAATTGTTAAGAAAATACTATGACGATTGTTTTTTTTTATATATATCTTTTTCAAACATAAGCAAAGTTATATTGGTGCTTTAGCAAAGTTATGTATAAGTTGTTTTATTTATAGGATTGAGTATGGGACCACCTGTTCGCAAACCAGACGGAAATGTTGATTGGGTTCGATTAAAAAAAATAGTGGGAACTAAAACTTTAAAAGAAGTAAAGGATTTTGCAAATTATTTTAATTCAATTGAACAAGGATTTTTTTATCCTGAATTTCAAACAAAAGCAGCTGTTGATGTCTGGAGGTATCTTGCAACATGTCTTTCTAAGGGTTTGTTATTCAATAATTCTCATCAGAATAATATTATTATGCAGAATAGTAAAAGATGTAACATAATAATGAAAATAATTTACAGATTTCATAAATCAGGGTTACTTAAAATGGCTTAATAAAATTAAAAGAAAGTTTTGAATTTTTTTCTCAATAAACTAATATTTGTTTTTCTTTTTTTCTGTTAAATATGATTGATAAACTACAAAAAAAAAACACAAAAAAACATAGTGTGAATGCACTTTTGTATACATACAATATAATAAGTATGTTAGTTCCATTAAAAAGTTTGTTAACTTTTCAATATGTTATCAATATATTAAAGTTCAGCTTGGATTATAATATAATCCAAGCTAAATTTTGATATTTTGATAAGATATTGAAAAGTTAATAAGGTGACCTTTTTTTTTATATCAAAAACACCATATAATTTATGTGAAAAGTAATCATCTGTAATTTAAATATAAACATAGCAATTTTTACCAGTAAATAGTTTTTAAAAAATAAAAGGAATCTTAGGCTATATAGGGCAAGGCGGATCCAGACCATGTTGTAAGGGGGCGATTTTAAATTTTTTTTTGATTTAGGGGATGCAGACGATCTAGTAAGGTGGAGACTATAAAAATGTGGAGGAAAGTCAAACTTTCATTACCATAACTATTAGAGCTAAAAAAGCCAATAATATATTATATTAAATTGATGCCTAACTTTAATCTGAAAAGTGAAACTGCTCTTTCTTTTTCACAAATAGCGGATTAAATTCCTAAACAAATATTGTTTAAGTCTTCTTTTCTTAAATGAAGTAAATATATTTGATATATTAATACTATTTATATAAAAGTGTTCATACCCTATCCAACTCACAATCAACTTCATCTGAAAGTACCGAAAAAATCCTTCATTAGAAGGATTTTTTTTTCTATATAATGGCATTATATAGACTTTTTAAAATTGTTTTTATAAAAGGTGTTTTTAAAATCTTATAAATTTTTCCATGCCAGATTTTTGCATTCTAACAGATGGATTTTGGATTTTAGGTGTTTGAAATGATTGACTTCCATGCATGAAATAAATTCAAAACTTTTATATCTTTATGATGATATCAAATAGGGAAGGTTTACAAAAAATTATGGCAATCAGAACTTGGGGGAAAAATTACCCCCAATTAATTTTTCCTTAAGAAAAATGTTTTTTTTTGTAAAAAAAAAATACATTATGTTATAGTAAACAAAAGCTCTTTTATATATTTCAAATTTTATTAACAAAACTCTTGGTGTTAAGAAACAGTGACCATGCAAAATTTACAACCTCCTCTATTTGAGAGGGTTGGATTCATAACATGCTCAGCATAGTTAAGGAGAGATCCAAAGAAAAATATAGCGCTTAGGCCCTTTCATTTTTAAAAAATGCTGTTTTATTTTGTATGCGTTTTGATTGATTTATTTTTTTAAAAAATCACAAAGCTCATTGTTCTATTTTGTTTAAAAATAATTGGTAATTTTATTATCTATGAGTTTGAAGTTTGAGCTTAATACTATAAGGCAGAAGTTATATAAAAGCTGAAACGTTTTTGTTTAATAATTTATTCAAATGAAGAGATTATATAAATTGCTATGAGTGAAAACTACTGTGAAAACTTTGATTTCAACGTTTTTACTATTTACGGAAAGATAAAATAAGAGGTTTTTAGTCATTGAGTATTTTAATGCTGTAAACAAGAAGTCTTTTTACTTCCGAATAAAATAAACATTTTTGGAATGTAAATACTTAACACATTTGTTTCAACTATTTTTATGATGCTGTCCTGTCGTGTTAGTGTATTTTAGTGGTAGTTTTTTTTTGCTTGATGCTTTGGTTATAAAAAGAATTATAAAAAAAGTAATAAGTTATATAAGAATTAGATTTTACTTTTTAAAAGTATATAACAGTAATAGTTAAAAACACAAAAAATTGAAGTTTAAAAATGTAAATTTTTAAACTTCAATTGTTCAGATCTTTTTAATGAATTTTGATTTACTTTAGGATAGCACAATTTTCTATTTTTTCAAATGTTTGTTCAGATGGGGTTAAAGAGCAAATATATAGGGTTAGTTTTGTAAGATTGCCGTAAAATAGGGTTTTCTTAAACATTAGAAAAAATAAAAATTAACTCAAAGTTTAAAACCCAAATTTAACTTATTTGAAAGTAAAATACTTCAAAACATCACATCTAAAGTACTCAATTCTAAATAAGTTCTCTACAGATGTCTACCTATAATAGTTTTTCTACTTTCTTGCAAATATTTGTATTTTAATTGAAAGTTAAAAAGCCAAAAATATGCAGATACCATAACGTAGCATAGTAAGAGATATTTTATAAGTATTTTTAAGTGTATTTTATACAGATTTAAGTTAACATTTTTAGTTTTCAATTCTAGCATATACTTTCATAAAATAGTTTGGTGTTCAAAATGGTTGCTATTATAGTGAACAACACAGTTAAAAAGTTGTTTTTCATATTCTGGATGATCAGAGAAGTACTTGTATCTTTTCCAATGAGCATTGAATTTTGAATGCAATGTTTCTTGTTCACTAAAGATTCCTATTGAAGGTTGATGTCTTTAATGTGGTAGAAGACAGCTTGAACCTTTGGTGTGACTGATATTGTTAAAAATAGAAAAGATGTATTGAATTTCTGAATTTGAGTCCTTAAGCTTTCTTTTGGCGTTGTTTCAAAACATGAAAAAACAAATTCTTTTAAATGTCATAAAGTCTCAATAAAACCAAGGACGTATTATTAGATGGACCTTTAACCCATTGTTATAGATCTGAGGCGCCGTGAGTAAACAAAAATCTATGTGTGCTATAATTTTTAGCGTCATTTTTCTGAATAATTTATAAAAGTAAACCAACGTTTTTGCCGATAATTTCGCTTTTTTAACTACTTTTTTTTTTAAAAGTGCAATTATCTACAAAACTCTAACTTTTTTTAAACATTAATTCATTTTAGTTAATCAGAAATAGCTCATCTGTTTTAAAATGTCAAATCTGATATGTGAGTGCTTTTTAATAAGAACTTATATTAATAAAACTAAGACATATTTTTGTAAAAAAGTGATATTTAGTTTGCAAGAATATAAATACTGCAAAGTAAAACAAATTTTCTAGATGTTGTAGGTAAAACTGTAGATCATATATTGACCGAACTATAGATTACTTGTGGTCTCTATTCCCTACACTTAGTTTTCACTATTATTTTAAGTATTTAAATTTCTCATTTTTGTCAGAAATTTTGTCTCACTTACAATTTTTTTTTGGATATTTTTCTGTGATTAACTTTTTTTTTCTATGTAAAGATTTTGCTTAAGTTTATAGATCATATAATGAAAAGGTTTTATTTATTTAAAATTTTTTTAGAGTTTTTTGGTGTTATGGAATGTTTAAATATTTCTTAGGCTAGGTGAGACTATCATTATTTTGACGTAAAAATATTTTCAAGTTGAAAATAGTTAACATCTGTTCTCTATTGTTTTGCTATTGTTATTTGTAACAATGAATAGCACGGATATCTTGGTTTTTAAACAATACATTAAACGTCCATCTATTAATGCGTCCTTGATAAAAGTAAAGATTTCTAAACGCAGGCTTTTTCAGCCATTCTTTAGAGAACACCAATGTTTTTTTAAAGTTTGTTCCAATCATTGCCTTTGAAGTGTCCGCCATAGTACGGCTGGAACTGAATGTGCAACTCAGCTGGTCTTTCTTTGGCTCCAGGCCACAAGTCAAAATATTTTTGAAAAGACAATTAACAATTACAAGAAGAAGATGAAGTTCCATTGGCCAAATAACATTTAAAATGAGCACTGAGTTGTCCATATTGATCAACAGCAAATGGATTACATTTGCAAAATTTTATGCATAGTTTAAATCTAAGCCATTAGCAATAAACTCAGCATACCTTTCCTTCAATGTACCAAAAGATCTTAGAGATCCATATTCTGATAGATTGTCGGAATTGACATCGGACTAGCAGCAAGGATGCTTACTTGAATCAGATTGAATTCCACAAATAATATTTGCCATTTTAAAATCATATAAAATATAAAATACCACGTCATTTAACTGAATAATATTCATCAATGCTTTAACTTCTTGTATGTTTCAGGTAGATTTTCAATAATCGCAGTAATGAGCTGATGTTTAACACCTGTGTTTTGAGATATTGTATTTGTTAGCATGTGGCATTTTATTTGTTGAGAACTACTTGTTTTGTTACTCATCAAGTACTTAAATAAGAGCCAAGTTCATTTTCAAAAATGACCTTTCACCATCAATTCCAAGTTTAACAAAATAGTTGAAGCTGTAATCTCTCTAACAGTACCTTGTTAGTTTATGTTATCCTCCAAATCACCTTGTTATCTTCCAAATTTTTGCAGTGAACAACATGTTGTTGTTCTTCAGTTTCTCACTTTATAGTTGCAAAATTGAAAACTGAATGCTAAAATAAATCTTGCAATGTTTTTCTAACAGCATTAAATTTTTCCTTGAAACCTTTTTCAATCAGTCGAGTTCCTATTGCTTTGTTGAGAGTTGAAGCAAGTTTTTTAATTCTTATGTTAGATAGTTCAGTGTTTAACTGCATGTTTAACAATATTTCTGTTGTAAATATATGTCTTTTTATTTTAGTGCAGATTGTTGGACTAAAAAAACATAATTTTGAAACTTTCTAATCTTTCTTAATCTTTCAAACTATAATGTGTAATAAAATAAAACTAATAATAAGTATAAATGTAAACAACGGTTTTCACTGCTAAATATTGTTGATCTTTAAATATTTTAAATTATAAAAAATGTATAACTACCTGGTATTCCTGGAAATAATCTTCCTCTTTTTGATTGGCTTAGCAATACTTTTTTTCTTGGAGGAAAATCTCTTGTTTTTATCACAGCAGATACGATTTGCTCTGCTCCAACTTGACCAAATCATGCTAGTTTTTACGTCTTGTTGGAACCTCGAGCTA